GTGGCGGTGTTCACTCTAGACGCGTGGCGGTGTTCTCTGGACACGTGGCGGTGTTCACTCTAGACGCGTGGTGGTGTTCACTCTAGACACGTGTCTGTGTTCACTCTAGACACGTGGCGGTGTTCACTCTGGACGCGTGGGGTGTTCACTCTAGACGCGTGGCGGTGTTCACTCTAGACACGTGGCGGTGTTCACTAGACACGTGGCGTTGTTCACTCTAGACACGTGGCGGTGTTCACTCTAGACACGTGGCGTTGTTCACTCTAGACGTGTGGTGGTGTTCACTCTAGACACGTGGTGGTGTTCACTCTAGACGTGTGGTGGTGTTCACTCTAGACACGTGGTGGTGTTCACTCTAGACGTGTGGTGGTGTTCACTCTAGACACGTGGCAGTGTTCACTCTAGACGTGTGGTGGTGTTCACTCTAGACGCGTGGCGGTGTTCACTCTAGACGCGTGGCGGTGTTCACTCTAGACACGTGGCGGTGTTCACTCTAGATACGTGGCGGTGTTCACTCTAGACGCGTGGCGGTGTTTACTCTAGACGCGTGGCGGTGTTCACTCTAGACACGTGGCGGTGTTCACTCTAGACGCGTGGCGGTGTTCACTCTAGACGCGTGGCGGTGTTCACTCTAGACACGTGGTGGTGTTCACTCTAGATACGTGGCGGTGTTCACTCTAGACGCGTGGCGGTGTTCACTCTAGACACGTGGCGGTGTTCACTCTAGACACGTGGCGGTGTTCACTCTAGACACGTGGCGGTGTTCACTCTAGACACGTGGCGTGTTCACTCTAGATACGTGGCGTTGTTCACTCTAGACACGTGGCGGTGTTCACTCTAGACGTGGGTGGTGTTCACTCTAGACACGTGTGGTGTTCACTCTAGACGTGTGGTGGTGTTCACTCTAGACACGTGGCGGTGTTCACTCTAGACGTGTGGTGGTGTTCACTCTACGCGTGGCGGTGTTCACTCTAGACGCGTGGCGGTGTTCACTCTAGACGCGTGGCGGTGTTCACTCTAGACACGTGGCGGTGATCACTTTAGACACGTGGCGGTGTTCACTCTAGACACGTGGTGGTGTTCACTCTAGACGCGTGGCGGTGTTCACTCTAGACACGTGGTGGTGTTCACTCTAGACACGTGGCGGTGTTCACTCTAGACACGTGGCGGTGTTCACTTTAGACACGTGGCGGTGTTCACTTTAGACACGTGGCGGTGTTCACTTTAGACACGTGGTGGTGTTCACTCTAGACACGTGGCGGTGTTCACTCTAGACACGTGGCGGTGTTCACTCTAGACGCGTGGCTGTGTTCACTCTCGACGCGTGGTGGTGTTCACTCTAGACACGTGGTGGTGTTCACTCTAGACGCGTGGCGGTGTTCACTCTAGACACGTGGCGGTGTTCACTCTAGACACGTGGTGGTGTTCACTCTAGACGCGTGGTGGTGTTCACTCTAGACGTGGTGGTGTTCACTCTAGACACGTGTCTGTGTTCACTCTAGACACGTGGCGGTGTTCACTCTAGACACGTGCGGTGTTCACTCTGGACGCGTGGAGGTGTTCACTCTGGACGCGTGGCGGTGTTCACTCTAGACACGTGGCGGTGTTCACTCTAGACGCGTGGCGGTGTTCACTCTGGACACGTGGCGGTGTTCACTCTAGACGCGTGGTGGTGTTCACTCTAGACACGTGTTGTGTTCACTCTAGACACGTGGCGGTGTTCTCTGGACGCGTGGAGGTGTTCACTCTGGACGCGTGGCGGTGTTCACTCTAGACACGTGGCGGTGTTACTCTAGACACGTGGCGGTGTTCACTCTAGACACGTGGCGGTGTTCACTCTAGACACGTGGTGGTGTTCACTCTAGACACGTGGTGGTGTTCACTCTAGACACGTGGCGGTGTTCACTCTAGACACGTGGTGGTGTTCACTCTAGACACGTGGCGGTGTTCACTCTAGACACGTGGCAGTGTTCACTCTAGATGCGTGGCGGTGTTCGCTCTAGACGCGTGGTGGTGTTCACTCTAGACGTGTGGTGTTCACTCTAGACGCGTGGCGGTGTTCACTCTGGACTCGTGGCGGTGTTCACTCTAGACACGTGGCGGTGTTCACTCTAGACACGTGGCGGTGTTCACTCTAGACACTGGTGGTGTTCACTCTGGACGCGTGGCGGTGTTCACTCTAGACACGTGGCGGTGTTCACTCTAGACGCGTGGCGGTGTTCACTCTGGACACGTGGCGGTGTTCACTCTAGACGCGTGGTGGTGTTCACTCTAGACACGTGTCGGTGTTCACTCTAGACACGTGGCGGTGTTCACTCTAGACACGTGGCGGTGTTCACTCTGGACACGTGGCGGTGTTCACTCTGGACGCGTGGAGGTGTTCACTCTGGACGCATGGCGGTGTTCACTCTAGACACGTCGCGGTGTTCACTCTAGACACGTGGCGGTGTTCACTCTGGACACGTGGCGGTGTTCACTCTGGACCGTGGCGGTGTTCACTCTGGACACGTGGCGGTGTTCACTCTGGACACGTGGCGGTGTTCACTCTAGACGCGTGGTGGTGTTCACTCTAGACGCGTGGTGGTGTCACTCTAGACGCGTGGTGGTGTTCACTCTAGACGCGTGGTGGTGTCACTCTAGACACGTGGTGGTGTTCACTCTGGACGTGTGGCGGTGTTCACTCTGGACGCGTGGCGGTGTTCACGCTGGACGCGTGGCGGTGTTCACTCTGAACGTGTGGTGTGTTCACTCTAGACGCGTGGCGGTGTTCACTCTCTACATGTGGAGGGGAAACCCGGGGATCGGGAAGGAAATCCACGCGACCACGGGGAGAGAGAGAGAGACACGTAAACTACAAATATACAGCAGGCGTCAGGGTCGGGATGGAACCCACGACTTCCTGTATGCCAGGACAGGTAGTTAACATCTCACCACAGAGAGACACGCAGCCTCGCCTGTGTTGGTGATCCTCAATGAATTACTTGGTGGAGTGAGGAAGCATTAATACACCACCACCTGTTAACCATGCCAGTGTGTGACAGTGTAAAGTTTGTGTTTGCAGTAAAGTCTATTAACTCTATTGAACAGGGAGGTTATATCACAGCTATAGTTTGATTTTTGTTTTCCTCTGGAACTGTTTGTAAGAATGGAAACAGTCAAGAAGTTAACACAGCACACACATGTGTAATGCGAGCAAGGATTGAGGGGGGGCGGAGTCTGGGTCACGTGGGGAGTGGGTGGAGTTAGGGTCACGTGGGTGAGAGGATTTAGGGAGAGAACCGGAAGGGGGGTTTGAGACGGAGTGAAACACGAGGAGGCCACGCTGGGCAAGACGGGGAGAGTGGCGCGGTCGCCACGAGCTGGGAGACGTCGACACCGTCGGCCAACGGTGTCAGACGGAGAGAGAGCTAGCGGGGCTGTGAGAGGCTAGCTGTGTAAGGGCAGCAGTGACGCTAGACAGCGGAGCAGCGGTGTGGCTGCAAGGATTGCCCAACGAAGCAGCAGGGAGACTGCATATCGGAGCAGCAGGGAGACTGCATATTGGAGCAGCAGGGAGACTGCATATTGGGCAGCAGGGAGACTGCATATTGGAGCAGCAGGGAGACTGCATATTAGAGCAGCAGGGAGACTGCATATTGGAGCAGCAGGGAGACTGCATATTGGAGCAGCAGGGATACTGCATATTGGAGCAGCAGGGAGACTGCATATTGGAGCAGCAGGGAGACTGCATATCGGAGCAGCAGGAGACTGCATATTGGAGCAGCAGGGAGGCTGCATATTGGAGGAGCAGGGAGACTGCATATTGGAGCAGCAGGGAGACTGCATATTGGAGCAGCAGGGAGACTGCATATCGCAGCAGGGAGGCTGCATATTGGGGAGCAGGGAGACTGCATATTGGAGCAGCAGGGAGACTGCATATTGGAGCAGCAGGGAGACTGCATATTGGAGCAGCAGGGAGACTGCATATTGGAGCAGCAGGGAGACTGCATATTGGAGCAGCAGGGAGACTGCATATTGGAGGAGCAGGGAGACTGCATATTGGAGCAGCAGGGACTGCATATTGGATGAGCAGGGAGACTGCATATTGGAGCAGCAGGGAGACTGCATATTGGAGCAGCAGGGACTGCATATTGGAGGAGCAGGGAAACTGCATATTGGAGCAGCAGGGAGACTGCATATTGGAGGAGCAGGGAGACTGCATATCGGAGCAGCAGGAGACTGCATATTGGAGCAGCAGGGAGACTGCATATTGGAGCAGCAGGGAGACTGCATATTGGAGCAGCAGGGAGGCTGCATATTGGAGAGCAGGGAGACTGCATATGGAGGAGCAGGGAGACTGCATATCGGAGCAGCAGGGAGACTGCATATCGGCAGCCGAGGCAGTGGAGAGGTCGTCGGGAGAGACGTGGGCCTGAGCGAGACGCCGTGGTATCGAGATTCTACGAACCCAATAAAGGACAACGGAGATCGACATCTGAGAGAGAGAGAGCCTTTATCACACATGCATCTGAAGTCAGATCTGTTCATCCCAGCATTCAAGGACATCGTGGGCCTGGCTGGCTTCACACCTCTAAGTTGCGATTGAACATTAATTTATGCATTTCTGCATAACACAAATAGTATTATTTTCAACACCCTTTGCTATGTCAGCTGAATTTAGCTTTCATAAATATTCCTTTTGTAGTCTGACAGCCGAAATTGTGTGCTCGGAGTTTTGGGTTAACATTCATTTTGAAGATACGAGGGCTTCCAGGCATGTTTATACCCATTTGCCCTCTCATTGTGTGCCATAACAGCCCGTGTGATGAATTTGGTGAACTTATTCACTATATCATGAATATATGAATAAGTGTCGACTTATAAGTCACGTGTTACTATGTAAATATGCATTCCTCTGTGCATCGATACTGATGTGGATATAACTTTTTTCTGTCTGCAGCTGACGCTTCCTCTGCGAATTGGTCTGATGGAGCAAAGGCACTCGGCGTGGCTCGGTGCAGAAAGGCATCAATGCGACCGGTGGCATACAGCACGGATCATCATGGACATTTTACACAGCATCAGAGAACTCACACAGGAGAGAAACGCTTCAAGTGCAGTGTGTGTGGGAAGGTGTTTGCAGAGTCATCTACTCTTGTAGCACACCAGAGAACACACACAGGAGAGAAACCCTTCAAGTGCAGTGTGTGTGGGAAGGTGTTTGCACAGGCATCTACTCTATTAATCACCAGAGAACACACGGGAGAGAAACCCTTCAAGTGCAATGTGTGTGGGAAGGCGTTTACACATTCATCTACTCTTGTAACACACCAGAGAACACACACGGGAGAGAAACCCTTCGAGTGCAGCGTGTGTGGGAAGACGTTTGCACTTTCATCTACTCTTGTAAAACACCAGAGAACACACATGGAGAGAAACCCTTCAAGTGCAGTGTGTGTGGGAGGGCGTTTGCATGTTCAGCTCATCTTGTAGCACACCAGAGAACACACACGGGAGAGAAACCTTCAAGTGCAGTGTGTGTGGGAGGGCATTTGCATTTTCATCTGCTCTTGTAACACACCAGAGAACACACATGGGAGAGAAACCCTTCAAGTGCAGTGTGTGTGGGAGGGCGTTTGCATTTTCATCTGCTCTTGTAACACACCAGAGAAGCACACGGGAGAGAAACCCTTCAAGTGCGGTGTGTGTGAGAAGGCGTTTACACTTTCACGAAATCTTCAAAGACACCAGAGATCACACAAGCATCAGAAGATCCACAAGGAGTGGAGTCCGAAATCAGCTTGTGAAAGTCAAAGTGCCTCAATGAGCCCATCCCTCATCAAACAAGAACCGGAAGAAAATCCCAGCTTGGACACTTTCAAAGAAATCAAGGTGAAATATGAAGAGGTGAAGGTGGAATGTGAAGAAGTGATGGTGAAGAGTGAAGAAGTGAAGGTAAATTTGAAGATGAAACTCCAAATGTGACCTTTGCATCGATGGAGGCAACGTGAAGCAGAGGAGAATTCTGACTGAGGCAGAGCGAGGCAACTCCCAGCAGTTTGTGGAAGTGGGGTGTGGGTGGACTTCCTCCGAGACAATACAAAGTCAAATGGAGACCCGGTAGATGTGTAAGCCAGTGACGATGTCGCTCCAATAGATGCACCCTTGTCACAGGCCTTTAATGACAAGAATGTGAAGTTGAACACTCAGTTCCTAGGTTCAACCTGCAGGGTAAGAGCGGCCAGTCTTTGTGGACCTGTGTGTTGGTAGATCTCTAACCAGGAGCGAGAGCCAATAAGCTCCCAAGCATTCTCTATTTCTCATAATTGCATTTAAATGGTGTTTGCTTAATTGCCTCGGCAATTCGTAGTTTTGTATCGTTTCTCGTCTCAAACACTCGAAGAGCATCCCCAAGTAGCAGCTGCCCCTGTGTGGCACAAGGTGGTGGCCCTGCACCGGCCTGCATGTGGACAAGAGCCTGTCAGTAGGGGGCGATGGTTGATGGGCATCTCAGTTGTGGAGTTTGTAGATAATGTTTAGAATTTGCTCAATTTTGACCCAGACACCAGCATTCGTTTTGAATGGCGCAATAGTATTAGTTAAATGATTGTCAATAATTTAGAATGAATACTTGTCTGATTGTGTGCGTACATGTAACCTTTTGTCTATGAGAGTCAAACATTGAATAAGTGATGTTAGGACAAAGTGTGTTTTGCAAGTAAGCTGTACAGATCACTCAGGTGAGACTCATTGTTCTTGTGATACAGGTCAAAGGGTACTTTTGTGTTTTCAGCAAGCGTCTGCCTCTGGAGCAACTCATTGTCTTTGAAATAGGGAGCACACTCGGATCATTTCAGTTACAAGGCAAACCACTCAAAGTTACACGTAGAGGAGATACATTCTCTACAACACGAATTATAATTTTGCATTACGTGTTGACGTAGATTTTGTCTAACTAGGACGAGAAATACTCCTTACTGATTAACGTCTGGATGTTCACAACCATCGGTTGAAACAAGCCCGGCTGCTGTTGACGCTGTGCACCAATAAGGGTCCACAGGTGGCTTGCACTGAATCATTGACGCACTCCCAGAAGGCTGTGCTAGTTATAGTTTGTGTAAAACATTCATTGTTTCGTGGAGAGATCGATAAATGAAATGTCGTGTCTGCTGATCTGCTTCATAGCAAGGAGGTAATTCTAAGAGCACATTTGGAATGCATTTTGGTACAGATTTGTATTTGGTTACAAGGCAGAGCACATCTAGTAGATACATTCTCCCAACAACACTCATTAGAAATTTGCATGACGTCTTATATGTTGGCGAACTAGGACAAGAAATGGTCCTTGCTGATTAACGTCTGGATGTTCACAACCATGGGTGAAGCAAGCCTGACCGCCTGCAGCCCCTCACAACCATTTACGGCCTTGGGCCAGGAAAGTCACGAAAAAATTGCACACGAACGACGCGTTCACGCAAGCACCCGATGCTCCGTTTTGAAGTTTGAAAATGCAACAACTTTGAATTGTATTATGTTTTAAATTGTGTTTCTTCAATAAAAGCTGATATCATTTTACATCTGGAGACTTAATTGAAAACGACATTTCGTGTGAATTTCTCTAGTTAAGTAGATGGCCTTACTGGGGTTCGGTTCGATGTGGACTTTCACCTGGTTGGGTTTGCGGGATGGAGATGAGGCGACACAGAGCTGGCCATGCCAGAAGACCGCCGTCTGCAGATCGATTCCAACGCGATCGAACGTCTGTCTCTGCGCCTCCGTCGTTCATGCAGGGGGTGCGTAGGTTTACAGCGCCCCCTGCATGAAAATGATGGAAAGTGCAGCGTTCATCACAGAGAGATGAGGCGCGCTTATATAAGAGTACTAGCAGGAAGTACCCGGCGTTGCCTGGCCGAAAAGACACACATGGACTTAGACACACAAACATCGACCCACACACACAAACACATCTACTTACACACAGACATTCGCTTCAGATACACACACATGGAGTTCACACGCAAATCGACATACACACATACAGCGACTCGCACACACAGACTCTCACACACATGGACCTAAGCACACATGGCTTACACACATCGACTAAGAGACACACCATGGACTTACACACAACAAACCCACGCACACACATTGACTTACACACACACATGGACTCACACATACATATGTTGAGGTGCAAATGACGACGCGGAGGCAGGTCTTCAGTTAAGGGCTTGCGCCAGTTATTTATTAAGAGTTTTGGGTAACTTCCCAGGGGTAGGGGTCCTTCACACCAACCTTCACTCTGTCTGTTCCTGGCTCGGCGAGCTCCAGGGCTCTCTCCCTCGAGTCGGATCGGGGGTTCAGCCCAACACCGCCCGACCGGGGAGAGCAGCACCTTCTTCTATCACTGCGGCCGGCTTCTCTCCAGACTCCCTGAGCTTCACCCCTGGCTGGTGCTTCAACCGCTCTCTATCCCGGGCTCCCAAAGTGACCCCGCGTTCGTCACACGGTCCCCCTTAAGTACCGATAGAGACGTGACGTCATCGCCTCGCCCAGCGTGCATGACGTCATCGCACTGGACAGCAAGCATGACGTCACATCCCCATATTACTCCTCTACACATAGACACACACACATTGGCCTACACACACATACGGACTCACACAGACATGGACTTTAGATACACACATATGGAGTTACACATCGACTCACACAAACACATTGACTTACACAAACATGGACTAACACACACATGGACTACACACATACACATCGACGTACATACACACATCAACTGACACACATAGACACACACACACACACGACTGACACACATCGACTCACACAATCCCCGATGATGCCACAGCGAGAGCAATTCTCTCTCTCTGGCGAGCCTTTGCGAGGAGCAGTTTAAAACAAAGGTCTTCCCAGTACTGGCAGGTGCATCAAGGATAGAAATGACTCGATTTGTAGTCTCAATGTCTTCCAAGATTTCCGTGTAGGCTTCTATTTGTGCATCCATCAGCTTTGGTTAATTTTCCAAAATAAACGTAAGAAGCTGCAACGTAACATATTTCATGTAGTATCTCTTGAGCAAGGGCATGCAGGTTGTCCTTGTACGGGGGTTGGTGGTCCCATAGACGTGAAGTATTTCCCAGCAATGGAGTGCAGTTTGTCGTGAAGGAGGATGGGGCCTGTTTGAAGATAACATCAGAAAAGTTGACGTCCACGTTTGTATTTTGTTATTGGGCTCCGTGGAGGATGTCCTCCCATTGACATATTTCGTTGCTTCCTCTTAGTACCTTTCACGCGACGGTCAATGGTATAGTGTATAGCAGATTGTATGATAATAAATAGTATAAAAGTGTAATTTTTACAATGTATGAAGTATATAGTATCGTAATTGTATAGTGAATATACAGCAGTGTGGTATACAGTTTGGTAGGTAGAATACATAGTGTAATATTACAATGTATAGTCTAAGGGTGGTGTATAGTAATGCAGTATATAATTAATGTTGGGTTTGTCTATGGCAGTAATAGTACGGGGTAGACCCGTGTGATGTAAGGAAAAAAGTTTGGCTGGAGGCATATATATTTTTT